CCTTAAGCCTAATAAACAGATTTGTTCAAGTTCATTCTTAAGCCTGATACAGTAGAAAATTCCTCAACACATCTAATTGCTTTGATCCATTCTGTTATGGGGTTGTGTGGTGTGGGGACAGAGAGGACCCAAAAGCAGCACTCTGAGGGAAGGAGGTTTATTGAGGGATAAAGGGGTAGAGGGACTGAAGTGGAGGGAGAGGTGGATGTCGGGGAAACACAGGCACGGGGAACCAGGAAGACTGGGGGCCAGGGAGCCGGGGAACACTTGGGCCGAGGAAGCGAGGAGCGGTGGGAGAACAGGGAGGACACCGTGAGGGTAGTCTGAGGAGGAGAGGATGAGCCCAGCCGACTGAACGGAGGACGAGGGTGAGTGTACCTGGGAGGGAAACAGACAGAGAGACAGGGTTAAAGGTGACGGCGACAAAGCACAGGGAAAATGTGAAAAAACAAGAAACATGAGAGCCTGAACACGGAAGTGGCACCGGGTACGGCGCAACGACGATCAAACGAGGATGGTGTGGAGAACCGGGGTTGAAATACAGGCAGTCATGAGGTGATTACTGGCAGGTGTGGCAGGCTGACGAGGTGGCTGATGAGGTGCAGGTGCAGGTAGTTGGCTGGGCTCAGGAGCAGAGGGAGAGAGAGCACACAGGGGAGAAAACACAGGGAGGCAGGCAGGGAACAGAAAACCAAGGAAAAAGCAGAATAACTGATAAAAAGGTGAAAAAACCAGGACACTCACCGTCAGCCGGGCTGCCACCACAACACATTCCTCTCTATTAGACAAAATGAACTGTATAAAAACTTGAAACTGATCTTTTTTAATGTGTACAGCCACAGTTTGTGTGACAAGGAACAGAAAGGAGCCTTCCCTTAGAGACTGTGGTAGTGACCAATGGTCGGTGTGGCAGCAAGGCAGCAACCAGTGGTTCGTGGGGCAGCAAGGCAGCGACCAGACCACAGAATTGGCTACAACCCCTGCTGCTTTGCCAGCATCCAATCACAAGTGACGAGTACTAGCCAATCACAGTACAGTAGGGTGGGACTTGTTGAAACTGGCAGGGGAAAAAAACAAAAAAACAAGGCGATTCAACCGGAGTGAACGAGACGAGGGCTGTGTTCGAAAAGTCTTTTTTTGATTAGAAAGGTTCCTAACTGAGTAAAATGACCTGGAAGTTTTTCAGTGACAGCCATGATAAGAGCTGTTCGAATTCTCTAAAAGCTAAGGAAAGGTGCCTCAATGCTTCCTTTCATATCTCCTTTAGCATAGGGTGCACCAGACCATCCTTTCTGAAAGGAAAGGAGAGATTGCCGTGCCACGTGCGACGCACGTTGTCAAACTCAAACTATAAATCCATTGACCACATTTATCAAAATCCTTCCAATACAGACGCACATTATGAAAACCAAAGAAGAAGACTCACTATTACCTTCTTTCTTTTGGTTTGTTTTCTTTTGGCTTTGCTGTTTCAACACCGGTTTATGTTTTGGATTGTTGAAATAAGCTATAAAGTGTTTTCTACAATAAATTTAAAAAAAGAAATCACAGACCATGACTGATAAAGGATGTTGATCACCATGTAAGTTACCATTGGCCATTAGCCTTTCCAAGTCTTTTCTCTTTTATGCCATAACTTGCTAATATGGATATCTTAAACACATATCACAGAATTTCCCCTCAGAATTAATAAAGTATTTCTGATTCTGATTCTGAAGCTGTCAACAATAACTGAGACCCATGTGAGCTGTTACTAGTCTTGTATCGTGATCAAAGTTCAACACCATCATCCGTGTTCAACACCATTATCCCGGACATCCTCAGCACCAAACTCACCCAGCTCACTGTGCCAGCCTCCACCTGTCAGTGGATCACAGACTTCCTGACTGACAGGAGTCAGCAGGTGAAGCTGGGGAACATCACATCATATATATCAGCACGTGCGCCCCCCAGGGGTGTGTGATCTCCCCCCTGCTCTTCTCCCTCTACACCAACGACTGCACCTCAGGGGACCCATCTGTCAAACTCCTGAAGTTTGCTGACGACACAATGGTCATCGGCTCATCAGGGACGGTGACGAGTCTGCCTACAGATGGGAGGTTGATCAGCTCTGGTGCGGTCAGAACAACCTGGAGCTTAACACGCTCAAAACTGTGGAGATGACCGTGGACTTCAGGAGGAGCCCCCCCAGTCTGCCCCCCCCCCCCCCCCCATCACCATACTCAAAAGCCCTGTGTCTGCTGTGGAATCCTTCCAGGTTTCTGGGATCCACTATTTCCCAGGACCTGAAGTGGGAGCCCAACACAGACTCCATCATCAAGAAGGCCCAGCAGAGGATGTACTTCCTGCGTCAGCTCAGGAAGCTCAACCTGCCTAAGGAGCTGCTGATCCACTTCTACACAGCCATCATCCAGTCTGTCCTCTGCACCTCCATCACTGTCTGGTTTGGATCTGCCACCAAAAAGGACAGGAGCAGACTACAACGGACAGTCAGGACTGGAATAATCTGTGCCAACCTGCCCTCCATTCAGGACTTTTCCAGAGTCAGGAAACAGGCAGGAAACATCACTGCAGATCCATCTCACCCCGGACACAACCTGTTCCAGCTCCTCCCCTCTGGTAGGCGCTACAGAGCACTGTACGCCAAAACCAACAGACACAGGAACAGTTTCTTCCCACAAGCCATCACTCTGATGAACAGCTGATTTCTGACTCACAGTGTCAGGAACAATTCCTATGCAATAACCCAGTAACTCTGTCTCTCATCAGCCTCCTGTTTACTGGTTACCACTTATTATTTATTTATTCACCATTCTCTATTTCAGTGCTGTTCCTACTATGTCATATTGTATATACTGTATATCAATACACCTACCTCAGGTCATAAGTTCATAGGTCTTATTAATTTTTTCCAGGATCCTTTGTACTATGCTCCATCACACTGTGTACATGTGTACATGTATGCATATATGTGTATGTGTACCTGTATATCATATCCACCTTCAACATGTAGATAATGAGAATAATAGTTTACTCTTGCATCCTTTGCACTCTGATCACTGCACTATTTGTCAATATGTCTACATAGTTTTGTTCATAGTGTGTATATTAGTGTTGTCTATTCTGTAGTTTGTGTCTGATTTTATTATTATTATTTTATTATTGTATAAGTAAGCACATCGTGAGCAATGTACAATCCTGAGTCAAATTCCTCGTATGTACATACATACCTGGCAATAAAACTGATTCTGATTCTGATTCTGATAATGTTGCAGTGTGTAGACTCACTTTATGTACAGCAGCCTTCAGCAAGATCATTAATTAATTTTACTTAAGTCACAGATGCTGATCACCCTCGCCTTAATAAAGGCAATGATCAAGCTGGATGACCTCTACAGTAGGCGTTTCCCACACATTGATTTATTTGTGGCGACCTGACACATTATAAACGCTCTTTTTTGTTAGGCTACCATTTAAAATGGGTAAAAATCGCATTTGATCACAGAGCTCCATGCAGCGCACAAACTGAGCATTTAACGTTAGCCTACACATTTCAACATTATCCTCACTTCACATTTTACATGACCAGAAACATAGGGTAAGGGGCTCAGTAATTGTTGACAGTTCAAGACATATGCATATTAGCAAGTTATGGCATAAGACAGAAAAGGCTTAATAGCCAATTGTAACTTGATCAATATCCTTTATCCGTCATGGTCAGTGATTTTGTATAAAATTCAAATACAACACTTATTTCAACAATGCAAAACATAACATGCTGTTGAAACAGTATTAGATTATAGCAAAGCCAAAAGAAAACAAACCAAAAGAAAGAAGGAAATTGTATATTGAGTATCTTATTCAAGTAGCCTATCATAAATAAAAAAATAGTAATGTCTGTCAGTCATGTAGGCCTATTGCAAGGATTTTGCTAAATGTGGTCAATCGATTTTATCATTTGAGTTTGAAAATGACAATGAAATGAAATGTTGCTGTCGCAAGGAATTGTGGGACGGTATTATCTCCTTTCCTTTCATAAAGGATGGTCCAGTGTAACCTATGTTAAAGAAAATAGGAAAGGAAGCATTGAAGCACCTTTCCTTAGCATTTAGAGAATTCGACCAGCTCTAATCATGGCTGCCACTTCAATACTTCCAGGTCACTTCACTCAGTTAGGAACCTACTGCAGCCGAGAAGAAAGCGCTGTGAGTGACAGGAGGCTGAGCTGTGTGGGCACTGCAGCGGTGTGTATATCAAATCGCTGTCAGTGAAGTGAAGTGCGTTTTCAGTATTGATATTGTGGAACATGAGTATTAGAATTGTTTAATATATTCAGTATTGTGATGTATAAAAAAATAAAATAAAAATAAAAAAACACTACACTGAACCTTTAAGCTAAAATAAAGCTATCTAATACACCATACATATTATTCACAAATAAACAGAAAAACACAATTAAAAGGCAACAAAATCATCATACCACATTTTCTCAAGCAACTGAAATCTGAAGTTAACATAGTACATAAAACACACTTTTACCCACAATATTTAACAGAGCTGTTGTAAGGCAACTTACCACAGAGATAGCACATGCAGACTGTTAATAAGTTGTGGGGTAGGCTGCTCAAATCTGCAGGGGTGTAGCACAGGGCGCCCACGCTACACACACACGTCTCCATGGCAACAATGTCCATTACACTCTAGTAGATAAACTAAATAAATAATAAAATAAAACAATATAAAATATAAAAAATAAAGTCACAAAATGAAAGATGACATAAGTGACTTGCTTACAAAAAAAGTAACGAGCACAGATAGTAAAACAAGACTAGAAACAAAGACTAGAACTCAGAACAACCTGACAAATTAACAAATGACCAAAGTAACATACAAATACTACAGCGAAGAGCAAACATAAGGGCAGGAAATGAACACAGAAAATAAATGCAAAACACACCCAACCAACCCAAACCCATGACAGGCCGTGTTTTCTTTGATAAAACATTCCTGCAGGCATAGCTTTGAGCAATGGTTACCTGTGGAAGAAGCAGAGGAAGTTTGCCAACACTCACCTGCGTTACTTTGGAGAGGGCCAGAAGTCACTGGAAAAATACATTGAAGTGGAAAGCAACTTCCTCTGTGAAGCTTTCAATGAGGAACAAGGCAAGTACATTATACAGACTCAGCTGTTAGTTCATGCTACTTGACTACTACACTTGCTAATAATGGACTGCCATCACATCATAATTGTACAGAATGTCTGTGACAAATAAGTGATTATACATCCTGATGCAATTTATCATCACTTGAGTTGAATTCAACATATTCCCAGGAAGGCCATTCAACCCCCACTACATCATAACGAATGGAGTGAGTAACATCATCTCCTCTGTGGTCTTCGGACACCGTTTTGAAAACAGCGACCAAAGACTTCGCAAGTTTCTGGAATTGGACAATGAGGCCATTGTGCTCGTAGGCTCTGCTCAGACTCAGGTAAGTCCTGATCTGCCTCAACTATTATGTTGTGATCACAAAACAAACTGGTTTATTACTGATGTGAGTTTGTCCCATGAATAGCTGTATGACGCCTTCCCTGGCTTGCTGAAGTACCTGCCAGGACCTCACCAGACTGTTCACGCCAACTACAAGGAGATACTGATTTTCCTGAAAAAGGAAATAGAGAAGCACCAAGAAGAGTGGAACCCAGATGACCCTCGAGATTATATTGATGTTTACCTGGCAGAGATGGAGAAGGTAAGATAATTCCATGAAAGCATGGCTCTGTGTATAATGTCATAAAAAAACAGTGTTTTCTGCTTATTTGCCAGAAAAAGGAGGATCCCCAGGCTGGCTTCAACATAGAAACCCTGCTGGTTTGCTTGCTTGATCTAATTGAGGCTGGGACAGAAACAAGTTCCACCACTTTACGCTGGGGCCTCGTATACATGATGCACTACCCAGAGATACAGGGTTAGTATCTTATTAATAAGAACATTTTTCTCACAATTTTCTTGTGAAATTACAGATGGTTTGGTGCTTTTTCAAGTGTATAATGTTCAACAAGCTGCCCATTGTAATCTGCTTCCTCATTCAGAGAAGGTCCAGGCAGAAATAGACAGAGTGATCGGACAGTCTCGTCAGCCAAACATGGCCGACAGACCCAACATGCCTTACACTGATGCTGTCATCCACGAGATTCAAAGGATGGGGAATTGTTCCCCTGGGATTCCCCAAAATGGCCAGTAAAGACACAACACTGGGAGGATACTTTATACCCAAAGTAAAGGACTATTTACCAAACTCACCTAGGGATGAATGTAATAAGTTGTAAGATTTGTAAATTATTCATACACAGCTGATTTCAACAGCTCATGAATCTTTTTTTTTTCAGGGCACATTTATTAGTATAATCCTTGCATCTGTGCTGTTTGATAAGAATGAGTGGGCGACTCCACATGTCTTCAGTCCTGAGCATTTCTTGGATTCAGAGGGCCAGTTCCGCAGAAGAGATGCATTCTTACCGTTCTCAGCAGGTTTGCTCAATACTGTTTAGCTTACAAGAATTTCTAACATACAGTAGTTCATGTCAGAAACATGTGGGTTAAGAATATGCTAACCTACAGCTGCTGTCGACTGTTTCCCTGCAGGTAAACGTGTGTGTTTGGGAGAGCACCTGGCCAGAATGGAGCTGTTCCTGTTTTTTTCATCTCTCTTCCAACGCTTCACCTTCTCTCCAGTTCCGGGCGAAATGCCCAGCTTAGAGGGCGTGCTGGGCTTCACCTGTTCCCCTGAGGAGTTCAGGATGCACGCCTTGCCTCGCTGATCAATGATCTCAATGATCTCTCTGAGACAACAGTCAAAGATCCTAGATTCAAATCTTTTTTGTATGTCATCTTCAATGACATGATGATCAAATATCTGACTTCTAAAATCACCATGTCTGTGAAGGAGATGGACATTTTCATTATAATCTTAGAACTATTGTGACTGTTGACATTATTGTAGCTATATATGTTTTCCCCGTGTAAACTCAATAAGATTGGTACAAAATTATTTATTTATCATTCACACATTCAACAATGGTTCTCTGTTTGTTGCATTAGGAAATACATTTAGCTGCAATGATATATCAATAAGTAGGAGAGTTTGTGTGTGTCTGATTTAGCTCTGTCTTGCACACACACTGTTTGGAGCAGGTTTTTAGTCGTTCTTTTATTGCTACTGTTGAATGAAGTTAGTTCAATACAAACCAGGCCTTTACTGTGTGTGTGTGTGTGTGTGTGTGTGTGAGCGTGTCACAAGACCTGACAATGCTCAAAAACAAGATGAGAGAAGAGGACTTTGAGCATTAACAATTTATTACCTGCATTCTGGAGACATTTTCTGCTCAAATTTAGGGTGGAAATGACTTTATTTATAAAAAGAGAAACAAAAGATTCAGCTGGCAGGTGAGAATTCATTGATAGAAAAATATAACAGAATATAATGCAGTAATCAGCAGCCTGTTACTTTTTTTGGACAATGCACATTGGTTTCTTCTATATTTAAATTGCTTTGCATGTTTTCTTATTGTGCAAATAAACCTTTCTCAAAGTATTTTAATTTATTAGTTAACATTTCTTGCAAGCTATTTTATGCATTTTAACAAAAGCTTTCAAAAAGTTATGGGGACAAAAATGTGGTGGGGAAGTGTCCCCAGTGTAAATGACACCTACGATTTATGTACAGGCATATAGGCTATATTATATTTTATATATATTAAACAACAGTTGAAGGAAGAAGGAACAGGAGGAGCTGTAGGAGAAGGACAAGGAAGAGAAGCAGTGGGCAATCATCCATAGACCGAATTAGAAAATGGATTATTGTTAGTTGTATTTATTACTGATGTTCTTCTCATTCATATGTAACTGTACAATCAGTACACGCAGAATCAGCGTCCAGCAAAGGGGAACTCAGAGCAGAAGATGAGGGATTTGATTTTTATGCACACACACACATACACACACTGCTCTATTTTATTGGACTGCATTGTGGTTTTTGATTATATTTAACTATTTTAGCATTCCGACTGACTCAGGCTTGCCTGACCTGGTTTTGTTCAGTGCAGTGGTGCATTGCTCATACAAACTTAAGAGGCAGATGTGATCAAAAGTTTCTTGAAGGTCTTCATCATAATAAAATTGACTGTACACAAGTACAACACTATATATTAAAATAACTGCAAAAAAAAAGGCCTCTCCGTCTCAAAGTCCTGGGCTGAATTTCAGTTCCAGGACATCCCTGCACGCCACCATAGATATTCCCTTTGCTGAGTGGTTGTTGTTGTGTGTGACACAGACACATGCGCCAATCACAGCATGGGCCAGTTACCGGTTTCAAGGTATCCCATATGAAAAAGTCAAGGTCAAAAACACAAATTTTCTGTGGCACCGTTGCTGTTTTCTTATGTCTTGTTAAAGACGGAAAGTGCAGGAATCCCGCAGTTTGTGTGCTGCATAGAGTAACACGACCCCGACACCTCCTTGTTGGTCAGTCACAAGTGTGTAGGATGACTAAAGGCGGCGAACCCCTTAAAATTTCCCCCTTCAAAAAAATTCTAGGTAACACTATCTTGAAATGAACATTTGCAACAAGCTCAGTAAGTTTTGCACGTTTTGCACTGATGAAATAAATACTGTTGGCTTGCTAGTGAGGCGTGACATGGCTTATTAACTAGCTAACATCTGGTAGTTTCACCCCCAACTTAAATTTAGCTGGTATCACGTGGATACACCATTGTGTACATCTGTAAAAAATCACAAAATTAAAAATAAAAACAAACTGGCTTTCTGGTGTCTTTTCCACTATTTGTCTGTCGTACAGAGAGAGACCGTACAGTAGACAGGTGTGTGTGTGTGTGTGTGTGTGTGTGTCTGTCGTGCATCAACACTGAAATAACAATATTTGATTTTATGGCATTATTTGATATTATAAGTAGCAGCAGTAGTAAACTGAATGTTGTTGCTTAAAAATAAAATGCATTGTGTTCAATGGAATAAAGTTAATAGTTTTTACCCAGACATTTAAAATTAACACATTTTAGACCTGAAACCATAAAACCGTGAAACCGATATCATACTGGCTCATGTCTACCTCTAACCTTACTACATGTCTTTTTATTTTGACATACCCAGATTTTATTGAGATTTTTGGCTCTGAACCACGCTTCTGCTTCTGACACGTGAAACAGAGGGCAGAAGTAAGAGATGTGATTGGGCCAGCCCAGAGTCAGTATAGAAAATGAATCAATGGGCAGCGGCCTGACCCAGCTTTATCGTTTGTCGGCCCATTTGTTTTTGTGAATGATAAATAAATAATTTTGTACCAATCTTATTGAGTTTACACGGGGAAAACATATATAGTTACAATAATGTCAACAGTCACAATAGTTCTAAGATTATAATGAAAATGTCCATCTCCTTCACAGACATGGTGATTTTCTTTATTTTTACATGACTTTATTTTGGTCATATGGGTGGTCATATCACACAGGCTAGTTTTCAGAAGAAAGTCAGATATTTGATCATCATGTCATTGAAGATGACATACAAAAAAGATTTGAATCTAGGATCTTTGACTGTTGTCTCAGAGAGATCATTGAGATCATTGATCAGCGAGGCAAGGCGTGCATCCTGAACTCCTCAGGGGAATAGGTGAAGCCCAGCACGCCCTCTAAGCTGGGCATTTCGCCCGGAACTGGAGAGAAGGTGAAGCGTTGGAGGAGAGATGAAAAAAACAGGAACAGCTCCATTCTGGCCAGGTGCTCTCCCAAACACACACGTTTACCTGCAGGGAAACAGTCGACAGCAGCTGTAGGTTAGCATATTCTTAACCCACATGTTTCTGACATGAACTACTGTATGTTAGAAATTCTTGTAAGCTAAACAGTATTGAGCAAACCTGCTGAGAACGGTAAGAATGCATCTCTTCTGCGGAACTGGCCCTCTGAATCCAAGAAATGCTCAGGACTGAAGACATGTGGAGTCGCCCACTCATTCTTATCAAACAGCACAGATGCAAGGATTATACTAATAAATGTGCCCTGAAAAAAAAAAGATTCATGAGCTGTTGAAATCAGCTGTGTATGAATAATTTACAAATCTTACAACTTATTACATTCATTACTAGGTGAGTTTGGTAAATAGTCCTTTACTTTGGGTATAAAGTATCCTCCCAGTGTTGTGTCTTTACTGGCCATTTTGGGGAATCCAAGGGGAACAGTATTCCCCATCCTTTGAATCTCGTGGATGACAGCATCAGTGTAAGGCATGTTGGGTCTGTCGGCCATGTTTGGCTGACGAGACTGTCCGATCACTCTGTCTATTTCTGCCTGGACCTTCTCTGAATGAGGAAGCAGATTACAATGGGCAGCTTGTTGAACATTATACACTTGAAAAAGCACCAAACCATCTGTAATTTCACAAGAAAATTGTGAGAAAAATGTTCTTATTAATAAGATACTAACCCTGTATCTCTGGGTAGTGCATCATGTATACGAGGCCCCAGCGTAAAGTGGTGGAACTTGTTTCTGTCCCAGCCTCAATTAGATCAAGCAAGCAAACCAGCAGGGTTTCTATGTTGAAGCCAGCCTGGGGATCCTCCTTTTTCTGGCAAATAAGCAGAAAACACTGTTTTTTTATGACATTATACACAGAGCCATGCTTTCATGGAATTATCTTACCTTCTCCATCTCTGCCAGGTAAACATCAATATAATCTCGAGGGTCATCTGGGTTCCACTCTTCTTGGTGCTTCTCTATTTCCTTTTTCAGGAAAATCAGTATCTCCTTGTAGTTGGCGTGAACAGTCTGGTGAGGTCCTGGCAGGTACTTCAGCAAGCCAGGGAAGGCGTCATACAGCTATTCATGGGACAAACTCACATCAGTAATAAACCAGTTTGTTTTGTGATCACAACATAATAGTTGAGGCAGATCAGGACTTACCTGAGTCTGAGCAGAGCCTGAGAGCACAATGGCCTCATTGTCCAATTCCAGGAACTTGCGAAATCTTTGGTCGCTGTATTCAAAACGGTGTCCGAAGACCACAGAGGAGATGATGTTACTCACTCCATTCGTTATGATGTAGTGGGGGTTGAATGGCCTTCCTGGAAATATGTTGAATTCAACTCAAGTGATGATAAATTGCATCAGGATGTATAATCACTTATTTGTCACAGACATTCTGTACAATTATGATGTGATGGCAGTCCATTATTAGCAAGTGTAGTAGTCAAGTAGCATGAACTAACAGCTGAGTCTGTATAATGTACTTGCCTTGTTCCTCATTGAAAGCTTCACAGAGGAAGTTGCTTTCCACTTCAATGTATTTTTCCAGTGACTTCTGGCCCTCTCCAAAGTAACGCAGGTGAGTGTTGGCAAACTTCCTCTGCTTCTTCCACAGGTAACCATTGCTCAAAACTATGCCTGCAGGAATGTTTTATCAAAGAAAACACGGCCTGTCATGGGTTTGGGTTGGTTGGGTGTGTTTTGCATTTATTTTCTGTGTTCATTTCCTGCCCTTGTGTTTGCTCTTCGCTGTAGTATTTGAATGTTACTTTGGTCATTTGTTAATTTGTCAGGTTGTTCTGAGTTCTAGTCTTTGTTTCTATTCTTGTTTTACTGTCTGTGTTCTTTACTTTTTTTTGTAAGCTTATTGTCACTTATGTTGTCTGTGTTATCTTTCATTTTGTGACTTGTGTGTTTCAGTTAGCTTTACTTCCTGTTTTAGTTTGTAGTTAGTCTGCCCTAGTGTCTCTTGTCATGCTTTTCTTCATGTGCTTGTCTCTAATTGTCTAAGTAGTGTCACCTGTGTATACCTGTGTATTTAAGTGGTTGTTTGTCTTTAAGTTGTTACAAGTTAATTGTTTGTATGCGCGC